TTATTATTATTATATATATATATATATATATATATATATATATATGTGTGTGTATATATAATAAACAAATTCTTAAAAATTAACTTCAATATTTTTCATAGGTTTCTATCGTGTAAATTATGATCATAATGGCTGGAAACGCATTTTTAATGCCTTGACAAAAATTGACAACCTCGATGACATACATGTATTAAATAGAGCTGCCCTTGTAGATGATCTATTAAATTTGGGTAGAGCAGGGTATCAAGATAATGCTTTCGTTTTGGAAAACTTGCTTTATCTTAAGAGAGAAACGAATTATTTGCCCTTTAAAGCAGCATTTAATGGTTTAGAATACTTTAATAAGCGATTTTCAGGATCCACGGATGAACACTTTTTGTTTAAGGTTAGTTAGTTAACAACATATTGGCAAATTTTTTTGCATAATTACATAATCTTAACTGTATTAATAATTTCAGTCTATCTGTACTATCTATTATATATACATTTTGTTTAATTATTACCATTATATAATATTAATATATTTTCTCTTTATAATATTGTCTAAATATATTTAAGCAATTAAAATTTGAAGAAGTGTATGTAAATTTAAATTAAAAAGTAATATTTATTACAAGAATAAGTCAATTGTAAAATAATGTAATGATTCTAATTTATATTTTTAGTTGTACGTTCTGGTTCTTCTCGAAGAAGTACGTTTTAAGTTAGGATATGAGGATCGCGATAATGATGACAGATTAACAATTCTCTTACGACGAGAAGTGAACAACTGGGCTTGCAATTTTGATGACGATGAATGCGTAACAAATTACAGAAATAAATTTACACAATGGAAAGCAAACGATAATCTCCGGTAAAAATTTAACTGTTTTTTTCTTCTCTATTGCGATTTCCATGTGTATGCGATATACAAAAAAAGTTTTATATTTAAGTATTTCATATTAAGTTACCTGTAGAGTTTTTACAACATACATACAAATTCTTTACGATTATCTACTTAAATGATAAACTTAGAAATTTCAATGTGTCTAGAATTTCAAACAAAAGAATTACTTATAATATCAAATTGTTTAATATTTGACAGCATCAAGCCAAACGAAAGGACCACAGCATATTGTGTAGCTGTAAAACATGGATCCTACGAAGACTGGGAATTTTTATGGAATGAATACAAGAATTCTAATCACGCAGCTGATCAAGTAGTGATTCTAAACGCTTTGGGATGCAGTCAGAATAAAACCATCTTAGAAAAGTAAGATTTGATAAACAAAAATATTACTATTAATTAATATACAGAAGAAAACAAATTGAAGATATATTATTTGTTATAAATAATAAACTACCTATGAATAAAGAACATATTTTAGTAAACATATAATTAAAAGCGTACACAATATACTTTTATTAACAATATATTTATAAATTTAAATGTTTTAATAACTTTTAGTAACTCGGTTTGTGTCATAATCATTACTTCATATTTTAAATCGAGAAAAACAATGATAGTTATTATGTTATAATTATTATGTAAATATTGTTTTTATCATTTACATAATAATTTTAATTTAGAATTTTATTATTATAATTTTTTGCAGATATCTGAAATATGCCATTACTCCCTTTGAAACCAGCAAAATTCGTAAACAAGACAGCACAACTGTTTTCGCCGCCGTTTATAATTCTGGTCTGCTTGGAGCCGAATATATTCTTGATTTTGTTGAAAAATATCATAAAGACTTGGAGAATTAGTAAGTTTTAATGCATTAACTGTGTAATATATTAATGGTAATTTATCAGAAATAGAATACAACTAACATTCATTGAATGCCCCATTAATAATGTAATAACACACACGCGCGCGCACACACACACACACACACACACACACACACACACACACACACACACACACACAATAA